TTCGTTAATTTTTGTATTATTTCTCGATTTGTTTGTTTGTTTTCGATTAATATTCTCTAATATATATATCTACATAAATATGACCTTAAAGCGTCGATTGAGTTTGAGTTTGGGGTTTGTGGGCTTCGCTTCTGCCAGCAGCTGAAAGGCGGAAATATCTTAATAATAGAGCATTGTAGAAGTAGATCAACATCACCGTAAAGCCATCCATCGCTCTCATCCATGCAGGACTCATCCATTCTTTAGTGGCGCATCAGCATTTTCCCATTTCGACCTCTGACCTTGACCTGACCCCGGACCCCTCATCTTTAGCTTTTAGTTTTAGGCTACACAACGTTTGTTTAACAAAAGTAAATAACTTAAACACAACATGCGCTACGAAAGTACCTGGACAAATGTAACGATTAACGATCAACAAAACCGATAGATCAATCTTGGTTATTGTCTTTAAAAACAAAAAATCGCAAAATAATCTCAATCAGCTGCAGGCAGAAACGGACCCAAAAACCCCTCTCCCCGCAGGCAAAATGATCCGTTTATTTGTATAGCCCTAGACCTATATATATCCATGTATATTGCTAAAGATATTGATAAAGTTTCAAAATTTATACGTGTATATGTCCACAAACAGCAAGAGCAAGCAACAAACAAAGAAAACTCCCACAAACTGTGCTAAAACAAACGTAAGAAATAATAAAAGTAAAATGTGTCGAGAGAGTCCAGATGTTATTTGTGTAATTTTGACCAGAGCAAAACTATACGGAAAATAGATCTAGCTGACTAACCATGTGAAAGCCAAGCAAGAGGGACAACAGAAAGGCAGAAAAACAGAAAAAACAGCAAAAACAGCAAGCAAGCCCAATCAAATCTATGTCTAACTGAAAGATAATTGATAGTCGATAATGTTAACTCTCATCCAACAAGTCATCCTTATCCAGTGTGTTTCATGTTATTCCGTAGCCGTACCCGTATCTCTAACGCTCGCTGTATCCGCATCTATATCTGTATCTCTAACTGTCTCTGTAAACCATCTCCGATCCGACCACAACCGATCACACTCTAAAAGAACTACAATAAAAATTCAAGTTTAATATCCAACCGTCTGAGTTTTGCTTTGATCTATCTGCTTGCCTGCCCCAACATTAGCGATCGCTCATCGATCTTGAAACAACAACAGCCCGACGTCATCCCGCCCGAGGGCATTATAGCTGAATCAACCTGACCTGCCTTCAGTGCCCCCGTTGTTGAGTTTTACCCTTTCTTCAGTGGGTGTTTCGATTGCAAGAGTCTTGTGGAATGCATCTATCAGGATTTTAAAGTTTTACCAACTGTCTTTGGTTCTTGAAGATCTTGTTGTTCCTTTTCAGTTTCGATGGTCTATAAGGAATAAGTAATCTTCCGGGTACCTATGGTATCATATACCATTTTTCGATCCATATTATTTGAAGGATTTCAGGGTATTGCAAAGTTTGACCAGCTCTCTTTGGTTCTTATATGTATTATTATCTGATAGTCTATAAGAGATAAGCCATCTTCAAGGTACCTATGGTATCATATACCATTTATCCATCCATTTTACTTGAAAGATTTATAAACTCTCTTTGTTTCTTAGAGATCTTTTTGTTCTTCAGTAGTTCTGATGGTCTATAAGGTATAAGCCATCTCCTGGGTGTCTTTGGTATCATATACCATTTTCCGAACTATTTAACTCAGGGTATCCCAAACGTCTGTCATCGAGCACTATGGTCTCCCGATTGCTTATTCGATTAAGTTCATTCTTGGCGCGTGTCTCCGCGTGGGCGTGGGACAATCTGTTCTGCCCGATCCGATCTGATCCGATCCGCCCCTCCGCAGCCCCACCGATTTCAGATCCAATCTGCATCGCTGACGGGCAAGTTATAAACAGACGGTGACATCATGTCTTGCAAGCGGTATTCCGTCTGTCCGTCTATCTATCGACGTCTCAGCGAGTGCGACTTGCTGTGTCGCCAACTATTCGTTCGTGGTTAGAAACCCCTCCTCTCGTAGCGCCCGGCTTGCCAATTCTCTCCGATTCTCTGGCGCTCCGCTAATATGCATAAGTTGAAGGCTCGCTTTCGGAGCTCCGAGCTGCGACCGAGCCAGGTTTGAACCGCGCTCGGGTGATTAATGCTGCCCCCGGCAGTGATTAATGCCTAATTGCTTATTGAATGTCATAACAGTAATAAAAGAACGAAAAACACCGCACAAAATCCTTCTCGCTGCAGCGTGTGTCATAGATTGGGTCACCGCCTCCACGGGAGTCACATGCACCGGCCACACGATATGTGGGATGATTCCTCCCCAGACCAGACAAGCCCTCCTCCGAGATGTCAGGTTGGGTGTTAATAATCACTTGAGAAAAAACTAGCTTCGTTAAGTCATCTCTCTGAAAAAGTGAATATTAATAATGGTTCGGGGTCACCAAACCATAATTTTTTAAATCTGTCAACAAAGTACATGGAAAGTAACAAGATTTGACCACCCACTTTTAGATAAACATAGAAATTGACGGTGAACAGGTGATTTCATGCAGAAACTCGAGTAGAGTTAAAAGAGCATGTTTTTAATAACCCTAACCCTAACAATCACCTATATAGCACAAAAATTTCGTGTGTTCCAAAAATGATCTACAAAAAGTATTTATAATAGACTCATCATCCCACGATCCTTTCTTCCACCGCTTAGCATGTCATTTAAGTAATCCCTGATCGTGGCAAATGTCATAAAGATAGAAGTAGAGAATAATATATGGAATATGAAAGCAAGCACCGGGCGCAGAGCTTTGATAAATTATGGCATTTAATCGCATAAAATATCGGCCATAAATAACCAGAGAACGCATTATCATTGAGTTAACTATAAGCAATCACATTTGTATTTGTGTTTGTATTTGAATTTAGATAGTCTTACATGTGTTGCACCATTGGGTATTTATAGTCGTGCGTTAAGTGAAAAATTATGCCACCAAGCAAAAGCAAAGGCACAAGTGCGATTGTGACAAATGGGATATGTCTTCGGGGCCCCAAAGGCTCGCGATTACCAATTACCTATTTCTATGTCTATGTCGATGTCGACCACTCCCCAACCACGGTGGGCAAGTGCCGGCCCGATGTCTGCCAAGGTCCCAACCGCAGTCCCCGATCCCCGATCCCCATCCCAATGGCCTGGTCTCAATGGAAAAGTCTCGTGACTCAGCGGCCCAGAAGGTCAGTTTCTAATTTTCAGTGGAGATCGGTGAAAGAGAATGGGGCGTGGCACTGTGGTCAAGAACGGATTGCACCCACTATCTACTCATTAGCAGGGCGGGGTTGAATCGCTTAAATCAACCTTCGGTTAAAAACAAGTTTCCGGTTCCTATCAAAAGATTTTCAAATGCTGAATTTTTCAAATTTCCAGATGCTGGAAAATCATCCTCGTTTTATGTTATCCTATTTTTCAGCTATATTAGTATCCGTATTTGATGATCACCAGGGTGCATGTCAACCTCATGTTGCTTAATTTAGTGTTAAAATGTGTAAACTTTGTATTAACTACAAAATGAACACATACAAAAATTAGATTACAAAACTTTGAATCGCTTTTTTGTTCTCGTTTTCTCCTTTAATTGTAAATAGTTAGACTCGAAAACATATAAACCAAGAATTGGACCACCAAGGAAACGCATTAGATTGCGTTAAAAAAATACAATTCAAAAACTGCACCAACCATAATATGAATAACAACTTCAACAACATCAGCAGCAAATCGTACACCAAAGACAATCAACATCCAACAACGAACTAGAAATCAATACCAACAATGGACTCAACAATTGCAATATGAATGAGAATTTATATTGTTTCGTTTATTGTTTATTGTTTTTCATCCTTCCAAATTATTTGTCAACAAAGGAAACGCATTAGATTGCGTTAAAAAAATACAATTCAAAAACTGCACCAACCATAATATGAATAACAACTTCAACAACATCAGCAGCAAATCGTACACCAAAGACAATCAACATCCAACAACGAACTAGAAATCAATACCAACAATGGACTCAACAATTGCAATATGAATGAGAATTTATATTGTTTCGTTTATTGTTTATTGTTTTTCATCCTTCCAAATTATTTGTCAACAAAGGAAACGCATTAGATTGCGTTAAAAAAATACAATTCAAAAACTGCACCAACCATAATATGAATAACAACTTCAACAACATCAGCAGCAAATCGTACACCAAAGACAATCAACATCCAACAACGAACTAGAAATCAATACCAACAATGGACTCAACAATTGCAATATGAATGAGAATTTATATTGTTTCGTTTATTGTTTATTGTTTTTCATCCTTCCAAATTATTTGTCAACAAAGGAAACGCATTAGATTGCGTTAAAAAAATACAATTCAAAAACTGCACCAACCATAATATGAATAACAACTTCAACAACATCAGCAGCAAATCGTACACCAAAGACAATCAACATCCAACAACGAACTAGAAATCAATACCAACAATGGACTCAACAATTGCAATATGAATGAGAATTTATATTGTTTCGTTTATTGTTTATTGTTTTTCATCCTTCCAAATTATTTGTCAACAAAGGAAACGCATTAGATTGCGTTAAAAAAATACAATTCAAAAACTGCACCAACCATAATATGAATAACAACTTCAACAACATCAGCAGCAAATCGTACACCAAAGACAATCAACATCCAACAACGAACTAGAAATCAATACCAACAATGGACTCAACAATTGCAATATGAATGAGAATTTATATTGTTTCGTTTATTGTTTATTGTTTTTCATCCATCCAAATTATTTGTCAACAAATTCCAAGAATTGGACCAATTCTTGGAATTTGTTGACAAATAATTTGGATGGATGAAAAACAATAAACAATAAACGAAACAATATAAATTCTCATTCATATTGCAATTGTTGAGTCCATTGTTGGTATTGATTTCTAGTTCGTTGTTGGATGTTGATTGTCTTTGGTGTACGATTTGCTGCTGATGTTGTTGAAGTTGTTATTCATATTATGGTTGGTGCAGTTTTTGAATTGTATTTTTTTAACGCAATCTAATGCGTTTCCTTGGTGGTCCAATTCTTGGAATGTGTGACGTGGCTAGCGCACGAAATGCCTCCGCTACCAAATGTGAGTGACTATCGATCATATTTCGCCATCCGGAGGTTTCCACCACATCGCTGGCATGGGAACTTATGAATTCAAGCGTATGTGCCTTTAATTGATCCGCACTGTGGAGATCAGCCAAAATTAGTGTTTTGGCTGCATTTTCCACCGAGAGTTTGGCGCACAGCGCCTCCTCGCGCATCACTTTCAGCTTTTCGAGTGCATACTTATCGGCTTCGGCTAGGAGTTCATCAGCCATGTTTCCTAGATTGGGCGATTTGCCCGTGTATATGAAACGCAGAGTTTCTTTGAGCACCTCATGATCCTCTACGTCGGTTATGACCACACGATTCAGCTTACGCTCCTCCATCCCACGCTGAAACATGGCCGCAAAGACTACGCTGCGAGTTGCCAGGATGGCCTTGTGCGCATGGAGCTCTGTACCGCCCACGCAGATTGTTACATCACTGAACAACTGGTTGTCAAAGAGATTTCCGAAATCCTCGGACAGCTTGCACTGGGGCGCTTTCAGCAGAGGCACGATGGTGGACTGTCCGGAGGTGTTCAGGGTGTCCGCCACGACGCTGATCTCGCAGAAGATGGTCAGCCTGTCCTCCGGCAGCAGGGCGTGGGACTCATCCAGCAGAAGTTGGCGGCGAATGAACTTCTTGAAGCCCCAATCCTTGCCCTGCACAAAGCGGTGAGCCTCTATTGACTCCATGGACTTGATCTTCTCACGCCTGCTATTCAATATGGACAATTTGATCTTGGCCCGGACTACAGATCTATCAGTCGAAATTAACATGATGTATATCGAAATATAATCTTTACACACCTCGTCGAGACCCTTGGGATTAACCCGTAGACACCATTTCAATTTGTCATTGGGACCGGATGAGAATGTGGACGATTTGAGTACTTCGCCCATCTCCTGCCGGGAATAGCTAAAGTTACCTATGGTCCACATGTAGCTAAAGCTAACCAATTTGATCTGGGTATAGCACCAGATGTCGGCGACTGGCGGATCAAGTCCGGGCGAGGGCGGCGAGCATATACGTGCGGGATCGGGGCGACTCTAGATACCAAAGCAAAAGAACTTATTTTTATTTTCCCATTGAAATTTAATAGGCTACGAAAGGCACACTAAAATCGTCTTACTTTTTGCACAAATCTTATTTAACTAATGACAAATAATAAGCGAATACACAAATAAACCCAATACAGGAACAAATTTGGGTTTAAAAGCGATAAATAAGATGATCATATGTACTTTTATCCGAAATGTATAGCATTTTTTTTACCATTTCAAAGTATACTTTTAAAAAGCTCCTTATTTTTTGCAATACTGGGAGCAATTTGGGTTTAAAAGGTATAAATAATATGATTATATTTTTTTTTTAGAAAGTGTGCACCATTGTAACATCTTTTTGTCATTTTCCGTATCATTGTGTGGCGGTATCTGCAAATTATGGTTCTAAGAGAGGTTCTATGATAGAATAACACTTAAGAACTTTGTCATATGGGATAATGAGGTGCGACGTGTTCCAATAAGAAAACCTAAACCCGATGCAGAGAATAATTGGGGTTTAATAGGTATAAATAAGATGGTAGTAGTATTAGTAAGGTAACTGTAAAGTATGTTTATCCGAAAGTGTATACCATTTTATACCATCTCAACATTTTATTGCCATTTTCCGTAAATGCAAATTACAGTTCAATTTGTAGTTAACTTAAAATCCTAACTTATAATGGGATAATATGGTGCGATTCGGGTGCTATAAGCTTCTGAACCAAATAGAATTTTATTGGTAAATCGAAAATATGCGAATACTTAGTTGGATACTCGTATGGATGTTGATTTGTGTCTGCATCAGAGACACCTGGAACATAGGGAAACCCCAACGAAATCCTTGACATTCAAAGAGGGAGGTTAAGGAACAACGTTTTACCTCTTTATTTGGTAATTGTTGGTTGCCTCAAATGCAAAATAAATCACAATACCAATTAAAATGCGAGCTAACTTGGAATTTGCCACCAAAGCGTAATTAAAATGGACGCCATCTTGCCAGAGCGAGATGGCAAATGGGCATCTTCCGAAAATGAACAGCGTTCTTAACTAAATACCAATCAATCAAGCTTTAATGTCTACTAAGCGGAGGCTGCACTCGATTTGCATACGATAATATATTACTTGTGCATTACTCACCGCTAAAATTCCAGATTCAACAATTTTTGTTCGCAGTTTCACTTTTTTTCACTGGTGCTTTGCGGCCTTTCGTTTTTTTTTGACGTTTCATGAATTTTGGCGCCCCCTTTGATCCTATCCTGGTATTTTTTAGTGTCAGCAAAGGCGCTATGGAAATTGACGCTATATCGATATTCGGCTGCTATCGCCTTGGGATCGAGATAAATATTTAAATCTAGTTTTAAAATTTAAAACCTTGCACTTTCTAGACATTACTTTATAGCAAGAGAGACTTCGTATGAAAATTTTCATCAATATATCCAAGATGTTGTAGAATGATCTTCCATCATTTGCCCAATTTAATTCTCAATGTAAAATTTTGCACATATAACAGTTTGCGGTTGAATTATAATTATTATTTGACTTGTAGTCTGAAAATTAATTCAGCAACTGTGAAATAAATATTTTCAAAGCAGTCCCATTGATCATTAATTTTCTTTTTAAACATAACGAATATTCTGCAAAAAGAGGTTTGTGTACGCGCTTTGTCACAGCTAACGTAGCCGTGTCACCCACCACCCAGATTAAAGATACCGTATTTTTGGTATGTTTTTCAATCGGGATGGTATTTTCTTATCGATAATTTCATGGTCACACTGCTGCTATGTCATTACTAACAAAAATAATATTACAAAAAAATCAAAACAATCTTTTAATTTAATCGGACCGCGAATATGCAACCGCACCGCCCTCCGCCCCTGTGATCGTGTGTAGTGCGCAGCCATGGCCACGCCCCCGCCCCCGCATCCTTTCGCAACAGGCGCGGCAGAAAGCGCGGTGGACGCAGCAGCAGAAGACGCAACAGCGGAGGACGCAACAGCGGAGCATCCGCAGCAGAAACAGCGACTGCAGCAACAACAACAGCTGGCCAGGAATTCGCTCCTCGCGGATTTGCGAAGATCCACGAATTTCTGGTTCCGGGCTGCCAAATCCAAGGACAGTCTCCAATTGCTGGCCCAAAGCTGCACCCGTATTCTGCAACATGGACTGGTGAGTAGGTTCGCCCATGGAAATCCCCAGAACATCACACACCCCATGACACCCTATGTTTTTTTTGGGGGCTTCTTGGTTGCTTCACTTTACTTGCAATACATATAATCGGGTTACATGCTCCGTAATTCAACAAACAACTAATAATTTATATGTTTATGCAAAAGTAAAACGTAATACTATTAGTATTATTAATATACATGCATGAATTAAATATATTGAACCTTTTTTATAGACCAAACCTTATGTTTCTAAATTTAATACGTATTACTTCTTCATTATTCTTATAGATTCATTACAATATTTTATTTTTATTCGGTTTTATATGAAATAAATAATTTAAGACTTGAACTTTCATACAGGTAAAACATTTTAATGCAATCAGAACCAAGTGTTCTTAAGAATAAATAAGCTTATATATACATAAGTTATTTAGTCTCAATACTCTGTTTGTATGGTTTATAATGCATTTCTCTAGAATCGATTGAGCACAAAGCCGACCTAAACTGTATAGGATTTGGGGCTCACAAATGCAGTACTTTAAAGCCAGTACTTGTAACCCAATAATATAATAAACAATCAATTTAAAAATAAAAATATACACCCTGCGATTCTGAAGAATAGGGCATTTTATAATACAATATTTTAAAAATACTTTTAAAAGTTCTTCTTTGTAAATAAATCTATTAAAATTGTTAATTTATATTTATACAACATTATAATGGATTTTATGATATTGTATGGCTATGCTACCATCCATTTCAAAAGTGTAAAACATAATGTATCATTAAATCCTCGGATTTATAGAGGGTATCCCCCATTCGTTAACCCCATGTCGCAGACTTCCCCCATTGTTTTGCAATCGAATTGTATTTATGCAACGTCTCACTCTCCGTCTTTATCAGTTGCAGCCCGTGGAACTTCAGCGACTGTCGGACGACTTTGAGTTTCTGCTGGCGAGTGCAGGAAAGCAGCAGCAACAGTCGCAGGCCAGACCGCCCCCTTATCGCCCGGATTGCGCCAGAGGCAGTGCGTCGTCGGCGGTGGCCGGAGTGGAGGAGTTCCTTGGCGAGTGGACTATCCGCTGCCTGCGCGCCCGCTGCCTCTCGCAGTGCCTGCAGACGCTGGTCTCCGATCCGGAGCTGATGGAGCTCTACTATCCCAGCGAGGAGGCCTTTCTGCGGCGGTCCAGTGACGCCACCGCTCTGTTCGTTTGCCTGACGGCTGTCCAGCTTAACCAGAGCGGCCTGCTGGGCCAGCTGGAAGTCAGGCATCAGCTGCGCCATCGACGCACCTGCTCCCAGCCGAACTTCAGCATCTCGCCCAAATTGCAAGTGGTGCCAGAGGAGAGGCTACAGAAGCGCAGTTTCCTCAGGCGACTCAAGAGCCTGCCTAATCTCACTCAGGAGGACGAGGAGTTGGACGACAGGACGTCCTTCAGACGGCGCTGCCAAACGTTCAGCAGCTCGAGAAGCGCCAAGCCGAGGGAGGACCACCTGGACGCACCTTCCACCAGTTCCTGCTCATCCAGCGACAGTCCCAAACGCATCCAGCTGATCAACTGTGATGACATAAAAATCTGGACCGACCAAACGCCCCAGGAAGTGGCGCCCGAAGTGCACGAGAAGAAGATGCAGGAGGCACCCAAGGTGTCCTCGTCAGTGGGCAGTTATCTGGGCAGTTTCTTTGGCTCGACGCCCCTGTACACCAGCTGGTTTCAGCGGGGCGTGGGCGAGGATCTGAATGCCTCCGGAGATGGCGGCATGCTGGACACCTTTTTGCCCGTCAACGGTCGCAAGCTGAAGAAGCATCAAACCCTCTTCGAGGGTGTCAGCATGCTGGACGAGGCTGCTGCCACCACAACCGGAGGGACCTCGGCTCCCTGGGATATTCAAGGTTCGGCCGGAGGGGGCAGTACCACCTCCACCACAGCCTCCAGTTCGGTGAGCATTACGCCGGGCAGCGATAAGATAGATCAGCAGTCGCTGGCCTCGTTCCTGCAGATGTCCCGGCAAACGCACAACAACACGCAGCTGGAGAAGGAGAATGCCCACTTTCGGATCTCGGAGGCCTGCATCACGGCCATAGAGCACGTGAAGTGGAGCAGGCGGTTTGCCAGGCCAGCGGGACCGGCGAACACGAATCCCTCGGAGCCGAACCTGATGCCCTACGTGGAGCAGATACCCGGCGACGTGCAGAGCAACAGTGCCGAGGCGGTGGGCCTCCAGCTGATATCCCGCTTCAGCGAACAGCAGCTGCCGCGATTGGGACACCTCAAGTGGCTGGTCTCCGAGCAGGAGGCACCCCAGCAACTGCTGCCCCTGCCCATACCCAAGCACGAGGATCACGAGCAGGCCAGCCTGACCAGAGGCACCGCCAGCTGGGCACCGCCACGTCAGCAGATCATATTCACCGAACATCCCTCGGAGAATCGCACCAAGGTGCTGCAAAGGCAGAACAATCGCTGTACCGGCTGCGGGATGCGGGTGGCCAAGCATCTGCAGCAGCACTTCCGCTACTGCACGTACCTGGGCAAGTACCTGTGCACTGGCTGCCATCGCAACCAGATTTCCGCGATCCCCGCCAGGATCCTGCGCTCCTGGGACTTTCGCTGCTATCCGGTCTGCTCCTTTGCCTACCGTCTAATCGAGCAGATGTACGCCTTTCCGCTGTTCCACGTCCCGGATCTGAATGGCCAGCTGTACAAGCACAAGGAACTGGCCAGGGCGAGGAGGAAGCGGCTGCAGCTGCGGGCGGTCAAAGGATTCATAGCCAACTGTCGCTTTGCCACGCGGTGAGTGGAAGATGGAGTATCCCATGGGTATCCATTTATTAACCTTTTATCTCGACCCGGCAGAGAGCAGGCGTTCTTCACTGCCATTCCGGCGCACCTAACCCAGGATCCGGACATGTGGTCCATGTGCGATTTCGTGGACGTGCAGAACACCAGCATGAACCGCTCCATCAAGGAGGTGATCGCTTTGAGCGAACAGCACGTGCACAACTGCGTGGTGAGTAATAGACCGCTAGCTGTTGCTTAGATTGATATCTACATCGTATATCGTTTATTTTCGCAGCTATGTACGGGTCGTGCCTTCCTTTGTGAGCACTGCAAGGGCGGTGAGCTCATTTACCCGTGGCAGCGAAAGGTCCAGCGCTGCGATCGCTGCGGGGCGTGTTTCCACAGCGCCTGCTGGAAGATGACCAGTCGGTGCCGCAGCCATGACGACCCGTGTCCCAGGTGCTCCCGTCTCCAGAATCGTGCCAGCTAGCATCCGATCAAAGTGGAGTTGAAGAAGCAACTCAGAATTCGAAGGGCTGGATAGGAAATGAAGGCGAAATTAAGTGAGATCAATATTCGTCTTGGAAACTATATGCATTCTTGTTTAGCCGTGCTCCTTTTTTCACTGAAAGAAATTTTGGCAGAGGTTGAAAAGTAATCTTTTCTGTCTATTTCAAAGAAAAATTAATGAATAACGCCTTATTTTTTTAATTTATTTAATTATTTTTTTTTACATCACGGAAGATATTGATATTAATCAATTAATATTCTTAAGGTTAGTCATGCATTGGATCTGCCTCAAATTCGATTTAAAAGATCACTTTCTCTTGGCGAAAAGCCTCCTAAATATTCTTTGTATAGCTATATTTTTTTGATATATTGGAAAGTCATTCCTTGCTTGCTTATTACAAATGTTAGATTGACAGTCAGTAGTATCAGAATTTCTCTTAAATTCATACTATTCTTTTATATCTATAAAAACATACTCACACACTAATAATAATTAAACAAAACCGTATTGAAGACCACATAAATTTTAAAAAAGTTTAAGGAAGCACCGATTATATAGTTTCCGAGGTCGAATATTAAATGTCGGCCCCCTAGTAAGTACATATATTTGCATAACAATTACGATTATTTATACGACTACTGTACATAACCATGTAAATTACCAAAACTGTTACAAGAATCGTTTACCTCGAGCGGAAGATGAGAACCCATGTTGATTTTATACATATATAACAACTACGATACGAATATTTATTGCATACTATACTGTGTGATTAAAGATTTTATTTTCTTAACTAGCATATTG